GTTGAGCACCTCTCTGAAGAGTGACTCCCTTCCTTGCTGCCACCCACTGTTCAGCTGGGAATAGATTTCCCTCTCAGCCCTACCTTCTCCAGGCTACCTCATCTCCCTCAGACTCCTGACCATCTGCTGGCTTTCCAATGGCCTCTTTCCAGCCTGTCTCTCTTGTACCCGTGCTTCCAAAACTGGACAAAGTATTGGAGCTGCAGCATCTCAACCTGACAGAGAGGAATTGCTGCTCTGACCTGTAGGGCCGGGTCTGCCAGCCAGGTGCTCTTCTTCCCTTTTAGGTTCCCCCTTCCCAGTTTCAAGGGCATGGCCGAGCAGGGATGACTGAAGCATAATAGCACACTGTCTCCATTATGGGACAGTTATCAGCCTCAGTCCTCCTTTATACATATTTATTTATTTATTTATTTATGTGTGTGGATGGGTAGATAGATGGATAGATAGATACTTATATATATATATAAAAGTATATATATATATATTTATTTGGTTATTTTTAAACACACTGAAGTACTTTATTTTTGCCTTAGAAATCCAACTTCTTCTTTCCCAAGATTTTGAAGATCTAGGTTAGCTTTATAAGGGATAAAAGAACTAATGTAAAGTTAAAAACACACAAAAACATTTGTGAAACTGGGGCCAAAGGCAACTAGAGAAAAAAACTTTGAAAACTTAACTTACACATCAGTGATAGTTACCATATTTATTTCTGCTCTATTCATCTGCAAAATTCAGGTTACCCAAAGCAGCAAAAATTCTGTCTCAAAAGAGGTAAACCAAATGTCTATGCTGGTAAGCATTAAACAGCAGTGATTACAAGCTTACAGCCTATAAACAAAATAAATAAATAACTTACTTATATTGTGGAAGGAACTTCTCAAATGTGCTAACAACAGTATACAGGAAATGAGAAAATTTTTGAAGGTATTATTAGCATTTTTAAGAAAATGCCCTGACCAAAAAAATTTTATTTAATGTAAAAATCTGAACTAATTTAATCTGAAGTGCACTAATGTTTACACATATGCAGAATCAGACTTCAAGCTACCAGAATATTCAGTACAAAATATTATTCCACTGGGACACTACTGTGTTTTAAGATTTCTTTATAGTTGTTTCTAGAAGTCAGAATTCCTGTATTTGAAAGTAAGAAATAATTAACCTGTCTCTGCAAAACAAGCAGTAAAATTTCAAACTACTCTGTTACAATTCCTGTAGAAAGTACTTAACATTCCCTAACAGAATTCTCTTGACAAATATTGATATTTCACGTATGTTCATTATGCATATAACATAACAGGCCTATGGAAATGAATATAGAGACATGCAAATCTGAGACTGTCCTGCTGCATCAGTAATTCTCAAATTTTGGTCTATAACCTATCTCTAGGATCCATCAATTGCATAGGCATTTTTATATCTCTCAAAGAGAAATAGTGTTTTCACTTAAATATGCAATGGCAATGGCAAGTAATTTTGACAGTTGATATTGGCCGATTGGTCAATGATCTACTTGGCCAGGGTGTGGAAGTTTTATCCTTTCAGAGCCTTGACATTTTGTTTCTAAAGTTTGGAGTGAATAAAATAGACACAAGGTAATAACCGAGTTTCTTTGAATTCTCTGGTCCGATAATTTATGAAGTCTGGAAGGTAATAGGTAAGTCTTGCATACTGCAGGTGGATAAAATAGGTATTATGTCTCCTGAAAAAGAAAAGCTTTTTCCCTAAGAAAAGCCTTAACAAATTATGTCATGAGTGAAAATTTCACCCTAAGAGTACACATTTTGGTAAAGGCATAATCAGGAAAATAGCATAAAATCTGAAAGCTGGATCTCACTGCAGGAACACTGTGAACCTCCTTAGAATTTATTGTGGCTTGAAACTATTAGGTGAAAGGATTCCAGAAACCAAAACATGAAGCCAAGCTTGCTCACTGTTTCATTTCCCTGCACATTTTCAAGTATTCCAATGGACTGAGTGCTGCATTTTAGCATAAGGAATGCTATTCACATTATTTAGAAGTGCAAAACAGCAATATCGACATAAAAAATCCGGTTCAATCTTGCACTATCAAGCACGCGAGTACAAGGGTCATGAACTGCAAAGCAGCTGCTGAGGACTGCTCCTCCAAACTCCAAATGCTGCTTTAAGAACTGAGATGTTGTTTAACCTTTAACTGCATGACCTTATTTATGGGACAAAGTACTTTGGGGTCCCAACCTGGTTACCCCTCGCTGTGTGTAATATAGATGTTTAAGAAAATACCATATGGAAGTCCAACAGAAAACTTCTCTACCCAGGTTTCACAAACACAGACAACTAAACCATTGCTTAAAGAATTCCTTTGAAAGCTTTTACAGCTTCACATTCAAATTATAGACTTTAAAAATATTATTTTCATTTCTGTTTTTTCAGCAATGTTTTTATTCTATTTTGGTTATTTATTGCTTGTTGTGCAGGGTTTGGGCAGAAGTAAGGGCAGGTGTGTAGCACTAGAAAGGAAATTTAGAAGTGTTGAAAAATAAACATATATAGAAAAACAATAGCATTATTGTATAAAATTGCAGCATCAAATAATAGAGTAATTATAAACAGAAATACATGGGTTTTTAATTTACTTGCTTGCTTTGCCAACCACAAAACTTGAAATGAGAAACTTTCTGTCCTCTCTGTTTATTCTATCTCCAACTCCATTTAGAAGTGCTTTATCCTGAGCAATGGTATCCAGAGAAATATTATTGTGCTTGGAGACCACTAGAGTAAATCAAGACAGTTTTTTAAGAGCATCTTCTTTCTTTGGGGAAGAAACTTGGATCATGCTGCCATACAAAGGTAAAGAGTAGAAGCATTCCACCCATTATCAGCTCTCCTAGTTCTTCACCTATTGAAGAACTCGGATACTTAATTTTAAAAAATACTGTTAGATAGAAGTAAAACTTGGTATTAAACTTCTTCCAAGTCATCCACAGCTGACCTTAATGTGCCTAATTTTCTTTGTATCACTCCATGCCTGCAGTAGTCAAAAGCTGAGGGGTGCTCTTCCAGCTCAGCCAGTCTTCTCAGTTCTTTTCCTAAATTTTCACTACAAACTCTCGCATTTTAAAGAACAAGCTGCATTGAATCAAATAGTTCTACTTTTATATTTGCTTCTTGAAAGTCCATGATCTCAATTCTTTTCAGTAATTCAGTATCCTTCTCCTCAGAAGTAGTCCCAGCAGGAGGAAAAGTTTCACCAAGGCAACAGTTCCATATTCTGTTGATCCACATGCAAGCAGAAGTTTATTTTGGAATTCCATCCCCTCCCTTCTGTAAACTTTCCAAAAACTAAAAAAAACAAGGGATGCTGGGGCTCTGATAATGTTTGATAGCTGAAAACACCTTGGTATTGAATTTATCATTAATAGGAAGCCTTCCTAGAGACACAGATGCAATGAAAAATATATTAAAATCAACTAAAGGTTTTCAGGCATATTAACAATATCAAACTTGAATCTGCCAGTCAGCAAACATTCAAAAATCTATTGTTAGTTTACTTGTTAATGATAACATTTTAAATTCTCGGCCATTTATCAAAAACCATTACAGAAGTTGCAAGTATGCAGAATCATTTAGTTCATGATTCACATCTCTTGAACATTCAGCACTTACAGTTGCCTGCTTATTTCCTCCAAAGGTTTTAACTTAGATTTACAAGGACAAAACTAAACCTAAGACAGGATAGTAGTTCAGTGTGAACAACTACCAACTGTGCTAAATGGTGATAAATTCTAGACAGACGAATGTATCAAAGATAAATCCCAGTGTTAGTAGGAAGAGGCTATGAGAATAGAAACAGAAGCAGCACCACCCAGAGGTGGGGAAAAAAAGTTCTTGTATTTACAAGGGTATTTCCAAAAGGGTTATCTGGAAAAAATCCAACATGAGAACCTTCAGATATATTGAGGATCAGTTTCTGCTTTGAGATGTCAAAGTGAAAGAAATAAGTTTTTAATAGAAACAATCTTTGACACAAAAAATACTAATCCTTCTAATACAGAAGCGATACCAGAAGGGAATAAAGAGGAAATGTCTTGCACGTATGTATGTATTTAGAATACTATGTACCTCATATTTATAAGATTTTATACAAAAGGACTCCACTAAGGAAAAAAAAGGAAAATTAAATAGAAAACACAGCAGGGCCATGAAAGAATATTGTACTCCTGTCTAAAACAAGACCTTGGAAAAAGGTCTCCTCTCTTAGCCACAACTCACCATAGCAGTATACTTATCATTTAAGTATCTTTGACTTTCAAAAGAATAAATCTGCTGAAAGGTGTCTGAAAGCAGAAAAAATGAGAAGCGGAATGGAAAACCAGCCTGAAGAACCAGGCCTGAGCATCATAGTAAGTAAAATACATACACGTATAACTGTACACAAAACCAGATAAAATTGGGGGATTTTTTTGCAGGTCACACTTCGAACATAAGTATTTAAGTAATATCAAACAACTAGCAAGAATATTACTTTCCCCCTCATCTTTCAGAAGAAAAAGTTTGACCATTTTAATAAGGCATTTATACTTAGATAAAATGTTATGTATCATATCATGACACAATGCTACTTCCATTTAAATTGCAGTACATACTAAATGCCCTAAAGATAACTGAGCAGTATTTTTTCTCTGCATTAAAAATATATATAATTTATAAGGAAGTAAACTTTTATTGCCTAATTTCAGAGAAATTTTGATATTAAAAAATATAAAATTACCTGTAATTAGGTAATATAGTTAGAAATTAAAATCTATTTTTTAAAAAGGCAATACACATTAATTAAAAAACATCTTTTAAGAATCTTTGGGGCTAGACTTTATTTCTTAACCACAGCTTCTAATTTTCTAGGGTTTATTCCTTTCTTTGATTTCTTTGTTTTCTTTCTTCTTTGGAAAACAATGTATTTAATTCCAGACTTTTGAGGTCATTTCACAAGAACCATGTCATTCTCACCATTCTCTCATCCAGTCAAAGTAGGTGTTTTTTCTACTGGTACATCTGCCTGTGTTGTCTGAGGAAGATCACAGTAGATGCTTGATTCAGTAGATACTTGGTAGAGGAGCTTTTCCTGATCTCTGTCTCAACCTCTGGCTCAGCTACCCATTTCTTCATAACCTTCAATTCTTTCATGCTGGTTTTGAAATTAGCTGACATATTTAACGTAGTTTCATCTTTGAAAGTATTCATCTCCAGAGCCGAGACTGATCTTTTAATCAAACTTGTCTGTTAAGAAAAGGAAACTTAATTTATTTAGATGTTCATTTGAAATAAGATTTATATATCACAGTCCCTTAGTTTTAATGGCCTGGATTTTATTTTATATAAAGTTGTAAAGGGGAAAAAAAAAAGAGTGACATGGGGACTACGCTGTTGGAAAAAAATTATTATTTAATGGGAAAAAAGATCTTCATATCTCAGGATATGTGTCAAAACAAAGGGATCTGAAAAATTAATTCAAAGTTATTTGAAGCTCATAAAGTGCTAAAATCAATCTTCCCTAAAAATTGTCCCAAGATATTTGAATTAAATAACCCCAGTCATTGTAGGAAACTTACATTCTAAAATAAAAAAATAGATGCTACTGGTGGTGACATTTATAAAAAAATTAATTGAGGCATATTCAGAAACCAGAAGAAAAGACAGAAGGACTCTGTATAATGTTTCGAAGTATATATGGAAATATAGTTAACATCTGAATGGAATTATGTACCCTTGTACTTTGGGCCCCCATCCCTGAATTGCCTGGTGAAAATAAAAATGAAAGAATAATTTTTATCCTCTCGGGCTTAATTGTTATTAGTTATTAAGCAAATATTATTTGCTATAACAAATGTGTTGCTTCTCAGGTTTTTGTGATTTCCAATTCACTAACTTGCACTTTAATACTAGACATAAAATATCTTTCTTAAAGAAACTAAGATGCAATTTCATAACCACTGCCTGAAATTTACAGGGGGAATGGCTACTAATCATTAAAAGAAATTTAAAAATAAATGAAGGATTGAATCATTTGGAAAGATTTTTAATTCGACTCAGAGCATGGGAAACTGAAAAGTCCTTGATTTAGAGTAAGCACTACTTAGTAAAACCTAAAACATTAATGACTATCAGAACAAGAAAAAATAGCCAGCTTCATATATTCAGCGATCTGTACATGTATGCAAATTAAAATGCATGTTAAATGAAACGCTTGACTTTTCTCAACACATTGGAATATGCCAATACTGACATCTACTGGTGTCAGTCAGGTGTGGGGTAGTTTTTCTGCAAACACTAAATTAGTAATGAAGTTTTTTGTGCGTTCATGAACCTAAATAATTGTTCTTCTGTTAGTTGCAATTTCACTGTCAGAGGTATATTTTAGAGAATTTACATATTCTCATTTTGGTCAATTTAAATGCATTTCCCTTTAAAGACTTGTTTAAATGATCAGAATATTGAGTAAGTGGCAGAGGAGAGAGGGTGTCTCAACATAACCAGTCATTTGATTCAACAAACAAAATGCCTTCTGAAGTGCATTTGGGCATTAAAAAGGAACTCTTAAAATGTAGTACTAACCCATAAGTTGTAGTTCTTGCACAGAAAAAAATGCAGGTCTAGTTTGTCAACTCTTTCTGGAAGGTTCCTGTCTTCAAACTGAAGTTTTTACCTATTTCTTAAGGAAAAGAGAAACAAGAATGAAATCCTAACTTCTGACAAGCAAGTTTTCCTTTATACCTAAACATTTGGTGTTTTATTGGGTTTTAGTGGCAAAGTTTTGGTAGCAGAGTAGCTTCACTGTGACTTCTGTGAGAAGCTGCCAGAAGCTTTCTCCACGTCTGACAGAGCCAATGCCCGTCTGCTCCAAGCTGGACCCACCGCTGGCCAAGGACGACCCCATCAGCAATGGTAGGATAACTTCTGGGACAACATATTTAAGAAGATGGAGGAAAAAAATTGAGCAGAAACAACTGAAGGCAGAGAAAAGAGGAGTGAGAATATGTGACAAAAACAGCTGCAGAAATAGCTGCACACACCAAGGTCAGTGAAAAAACAGTAGAAGGAGGTGCTCCAGGTGCTGGAGCTGAGATTCCCTGCAGCCTGTGGTGCAGATCATGGAGAGGCTGATGTGTCCCTGCAGCCCATGGAGGATCAGGGAGCAGCAATGACCTGGAGCAGGAGTCCCACGTCCTGGTGGGGAGGCCCAAAGGAGGCTGTGATCCTGTGGAAAGCCCACACTGTAACCAGGCTCCTGGCAGGAACTGTGCATGTGTGGAACGGAGCCCATGCTGGAGCAGGTTTGCTGGGAGAAACTGAGACTCAATGGGGAATTCATGCTGGAGCAGTACATACAGTAGCCTGTGAGATGGACTCCCTTTGGAGAAGTTCATGGAGGACTGTTTCCCACGGGAGGGACCCCACGGTAGAGCAGGGGAAGAGTGTGAGGAGTCTTCCCCCTGAGGAAAGAGCAGCAGAGACATCATGGAATGAACTGACCTCAATCCATGCTACACGTCCCTCTGTGTCACTGAGGTGGAAGAAATACATAATTCCAAAGTAAAATCAAACCCAAAATGAGGGAGGCGTGGGGAGAGGGTGGTTTTAAGATTTGGATTTATTTCTTATTTTCGTATTCTGATTTGACTGGTAATAAGTTAAACTTTTATGACCCCAACTCAATTCTGGTTTGCCCGTGATGGTAAATGGAGTGATCTCTACCTGTCTTTATCTCAACCCATGAGCCTCTCATTGTATTTTCTCTCCCCTGCCCAGCTGAGAATGAAAGGGATCAACAGCTTTTGTGGGTACCTGGAATCCAGCCAGGGTCAGCTCACCACAGGTCATTCTAACTCTTCAAGGTGTGTGTCTGTACAAAAGGAATGTCAAGTAAAGATATACAAGATACAAAAAAGTATAAAACAATCAAAATATTCCTTATAATTTGGTGGTTAAAAGTGATTTTTGAGGCAACAATCCAAAAGAGCTGGCCTTCTTTTGGGGCATTTTTGTCACAAATAGTTTCCAATTCAAGGAGTTTATCCTAAACAATTAAATGGGAATTAATGTAAAACAACAATCAAACTTTTCATTTCTGGAAGAGGGAAAAAACATGAAGGAAAAATTCCAGGTAGTAATATTGATCTAATATTGTTTCCATCTGCTAGTAAAAATGTGTAAAATCAGAAGACTCAGAGAGATGCAGGCATTCCTGTATGAATGAATCTTAACAAACATAATATAAAGTTACAAATTCTGTTAAAATTTTTGTAGGATATCTGCAAGAAACAAGTTTGACAATCCATATATAGCCTTATTAAAAATATATTTAGCCTAGTACTGGTTTTCAGGGCTAAAAAATAGCTTTTTAACTCTGAGATAGCTGTTTCCTGCAGAGCATGAAGGCATGCCAAGATTAAACAAGAGTGCAAAAACAAAGCACCTTTGCTATCTCATGAATTAAACTTGATACAGTCAGTCTCAGAAGAGAATTGTAGCTGACCTTGTGAAGTTTAAGTCTTGATAAATTGATACATCCTGCTCTTCAAGGCATTTTTTTGGCAGGGATGAATGAAAAGTTATATGTATTTTTAAGCCTGCGGATATTTTTCATAGGGAAGACAAGAATTTACAGCAAGAAAATTATTGCTTTCTTGATCTGACTTACCATAAAATCCTACAACTGTAGGTGTCTTTGGACTTTGTTACAGTCAAACAAGACTCTTTCAGAGAAGTGCTCAGAATTAGGGAAAAATAATAGATCTGTTGCTCTTTAAACTATTAATGAAGTAATCTGATTTTTACTATCTACTACACAGAAACCATGCATACCCCCACATAGATCATTTGCATTTGTGAAATTATCTAATTTCAGAGAATTGTTCAGTTATGAAATGTGAACAACTTTAAGGGAATTAAATTAGCGTCAGGCGAATGATCCCTTTGACCTTCGAGGCTCTCCCAAGACAAGCATTATTTAAAAAGAGAGCCGGTGATTGCAGCAGGTGCCACTAGATGGCAGTGCTCCAAAGAATTTGGTTCTCTAGATTTAAAGGATTAAACGAATTCAGCAAAGAATTCCAGTACGGACTTCATTTTAAACTTTAGTTCTCTTCCTCTATGGGGAATGTAGCTCTCAAAGTAAAACTTCCTTCCCCAGATTTTCTATTAATTAATACATTTTAAACTCACCTCCATTTCCTCAACCTGTTGATTACTCGAAAAACAAAACCACTCTCATTTTCAAATTCTATCCTCATGTAGACTCTACAATTCACGTCTTCCAGTTCTACTCCCATCTAACGCCTTCAACTTCCCGCTAATTTTTAAGGGGTTTTGTCCTTCACTCTTCTCTTCTTCCTCTTTTCTTCAACGTCTAGTAATGTCTAGTCAAAGACCATGTACAGGCTCCCTCTCCATGGCAATCAATCATGGTATGATTATTCACTGCTCTGTACCCACAAAAATATCAGATGATCTTTCTCTTAGTAGTGTGAAGCTGCCATTTTTGCTCAGCAAGGCTGACAGACAAGAATCTAATGTGCTTTTGCCTTTTCAACCTTCATGACCTCCCCACTACTTTTTTTCTCCATGAACTATGGCTAGCACAGAACACAGGTATCATTCACAACATTCTAAAAATAAACTCTTTTTCTAATCTCTCCACAAAGCTAATAGTCTGGTATCTAATTTCATATCCTGCTTGCTGCAGCATTGGTTTCTTTAGCCTAGGCAAACATCACCTTGCTGTGTTTACAGTCATTCAAAGTGCTACCACAAAGATCATAGTGCTTCCTTGGACAGTTATTCCATTCTTTGAAGTAACAGAAAGAAAAAAATATACTCAAATAAGAGATGCTCCTCTGGTTTCAAAACCTTCAAGCCTTTTGGGGTTTTTTTTTCATCTCTAGAACAGCAAAATGATGACTTCTATGTTTGTGACTTCTAACTCCATCACTGAATTCCTAAGTTTGGGGGATTCCTTTCTGAACACCTTTTTGCCCAGCTTTATACTGCCTCTCACACCTGACAAATGCTCACAAGAGCCATTGATTTATTCTTGCAAGAATTTCCTTAATTCCTGTCCCACCATGTCCTGCAAAATTAGTGACTGGTTTAGTGGTGTGCTGAGACCCATGTTTACAATGCTGAGGAGAGTCCTTATTCTCATTGAGTCCTTATAGTCTCTGAATGTATCTGTCCAACAGACAGAAAATGTTGCTGAATCAAAAGCAAACATTCTAACAAAGGCCAGGAATTATATTTATATGCTACCCAAATTGCTGACAAAAGCAGAAGCTCTGAAAACCAAAGGGAAACATCAAGGCCTAATTCCATATCCTGAAATAATGCCATCCTTGATGCATAGGATACTCTTGACTACATCAGAATAATTCAATTACTAAAAACTTCTATAAAGCAATTTGTGGATTCATATTTTAAAAGCAGAGAGAAGCATCATTATTAGCAAACATGACCTTCTAAATAATACAGATAATAAAATTTCATCAGTATTCATGCACCAAGCTCAAAACTTGAGCTGGGTGAAGCTTATACCTCAGTTTATACCTCAGATAGAAATCTAGTCTTCATATGAAGGCTGTAAGTAACGGGTCACTGCAGACTCTGCCACTTTCATTTCTGTACACTGAAATACTATAGCTACTCTCAATTTGCCTGGACTGAAGCCTCAACTACTGTATCTCTTATGTTTTTGTTTAGCAAATCCTGTTGCATCAGGAAGCATACAATACAGAAAACATATTCACCTCAACTCTGTCTCTCTCATGGGTAAAACCTACATAATGCTCTTTTAAATCTTAATACGGAACTGATAGTCAAGAAATAGAGAGAACACACACAGGAACTGACACTTCTGTTTCCCCCCTGGAACATTATTTGAACACTCCATTAAGTGCATTAAGTGCACAACATTCCTGAAAACAGATTTAAACAACAAGAAATCAGCTGTCCCTCTCTAGAACTTATGTCCTCCAGGGGTTGCAGGTAGATATTTCCCTCCATTTCAAATCCAGAACATGGAGCCCTCTTCTAAGGGTGGATGCATCCGTTGTTTCAAGAAAGGGCACGGTGATTTTTCTTTCTTTTACAAGAGGAAAAAGGGCAGAGATGTGATTTCCACCTCTTCATTATATTATTAAAACATAGAGTCAGGATAAGAAAATTTATTGCTTATCTAAGGATTCAAAACTCACCACTAGATAATTTGACCATTTTGGGTACAGAAAGTTGTGCCGTTGAGCAGAAAAGAATGCAAAAGTCATACAGCCAAGAGAGAGATCAAGTGCTGACATGACTAACTTATTAGAGCACTGATCTGGAGCAGAAAAGCTCTGTATAATATATCTAATCTAAAAAAATTATTTTATGTATTATTAGTAATGGCTCACCTCCTTTATTTTAAGGTAAACATGTTTAATTCAAAGTTCAGAGAGTATTACAGAGACATCTTCTGTTGCTTATCTTTCAAGATTGTAAAGCTCCTTTCAGAATTACTGCTTTTCAGGATACAATCTCCCCTCCTACAAAGTATGACCCTAAATCCCTATTCTTGTCCTTATGACCTTGCATTTGGCTGCACTAAAATGTGTGTTTTTCAAGAGAACTCAAGTTAACAAGCTACACAAATTGCCCTGTAAAACTGACCAAGCCTTATCCTTATTTACCACTCTACCATTCTTTAGTCACTACAGATTTTATAAGCAATAATTTGGTATTTCTGGAGCTGGTCATACAAAGAAACTAGAAGCAGCAAACTGCCAGTCTCAGTAAAAACTTGAGAGTATTATTAAAGATCCAATTCTGAATATTTGGTATTACTATATGAACAAAGAAAGATTACTATATGAAAAAAGAAAAATTTAATTTAAAAAAAATGAAAAAAGAATATGTTTCATGTTTATTCATATGCACATTACTGAATGCAAAACACATTGAAAAATTAAAAACAAAAATTTAGGAATGCATTGCTGTGCTGTCAAATATAAAAATTGGTGTATAATAGCATGATAAAACGGGGTAGGGTTATTCCAAAATTAATTTATGTTTCATCACATTTTGTAAAACAAATTGTTTGACAGATCCCTTCTTACATGCTACCTCAGCCTTAGAAAAATTAACTATGATGTATTTTTTTCTACTTCAGCTCCTCATTCATGAAACCTTCTGCAGTTATCACATGACTACCTATTATATATACAATTAATACTTTTGACTACAAGTTTATCTAGGTCCCAGTTCTGTATGTGCTTCATTTTGTGCATGTGGGAGCTCAACAGAACTACACTCAATTAGTTAAAGTTATGCTTGTTTCTAAGTGTTTGTAGAGTCAGGACTGAGGTAAGACTCTGTCTGTGATAAAGGGCTGGTGCACGTGTACTTTAAACCTTTTGCTACTGCAGAATTTTACATTCACAGAAAGCCTACTGTATTTGTTTAGTATTTCTTCTCATTTCCATGGGACCTCTCATGTGAGTAGAATATATTAATAATCTAAATTGTGACATATAACTTATATGTCAACAAAGTGCAATTTATTTTTAAAAATAATCAGTACATTTTACATTCTAAGCAAGATACAAGTCTTTTAGAACCCTCCTTCTACTTATTTTAAAACATATCTACCAAATGAGGGAAATTTTTCAAATCTTTTTCTTTTCCACTTTAAAATTACAAAATCCTGAAACACCATGAAAGATTTTTTCCACATGTAATCCTGTACATTAATAAAGCAATTAAATAATAGAAACTCTGAAAATAAGTAAGTTCATACCTTTTTCTTTCAACTTGCTCCATCAATTAAGGCTCTTCCTCCTTATTGTCCATGTCTTCTGCTGTAAATAACATATGACCTCTTCTGTCTAAAACATGATAAAACTGTTGCAAAAAAGGAAGCAATATGAAAGTAAGAAAAGCAGTACATAGATGATGAATGCCTGGATAATGTTGACCTCTAAAAATGAAAATAAATAAATCAAGAATCTTAATATCTATTGTCTAGATTCTTATGTATGTTAGTTGATCAAATATTGCATCATTACATACATCAGACCATAGTATATAAACTGCAAACATAAAAACTTGGTATAAAGTGACCAGTAATTTCTATTCGAAGTAGAGATCATATTCTTTAGAAAAGAAAAACAGGTAAAAGTTAAATAATTGGTAACAAATCTAAAGAAAAAAATAAGTGCAGTAGTCAACATTTTCCTGTCTCAGCTTAAGAAGGTCTTTTCTTTGTTGCACTAAAAATTTAAACCAAGTTACACAGATTTACAGCTTAAATTGGGTATGTGAACTAATGTTCTGTGAAAACATTAAAGATACATTAATCTTTAAATTCTCTCTCAGGACAGAGTACCTCATAAATACCGTTAAAATTTTGCATTATTTTTATGATATGCTATCACTTGGACTTCTTCCTAGATTTTCAATTCAGCTGTTGATTTTAGAGGAAATACAGGGTCTTTGACTACCTTTGAAAAGTTAATAACTGAAAAATTCTACTATTTAACTCTTCAATCAAAGTTGTACTAAAGGTGATGAAAGTTTATTGACTTCCACAGGCCATGGATCAAATTCTAAAAACAGTCTCTGGCTACTGTATGGACTCTACAAAGTTAATAAATGTCTAATGTGCAGACAGTTACAATGTGAAGAGCAGTATATGAAAAATGTTTGCGATGTAAAAAAAAAAAAAAAATCAGAATGGCTCCAGAAATATATGATACTTTAATTCAAGTTCATAATTGCCTTCATATTTTAGGAGCAGATCCCAGACTAAAAAGGTTGAAATTCCATTTTGAAATGACACTGAACGGTTTTCAGGTTTTACTATTTTGCCGTGGTTCTCCTGAGACAATGAAACTTCCAATAACTTGATTTTTTGTTATAAAGACCTATGCCTTGTGCTATAAACAGATATTTCAAGAAGGAAATCAGCAACAATTACAAAACGAAGTAAAGAAAAGCACAAGACTGATATATCATGCAACACATATTCATATTAGAAAAATAGATTTCCTTACATTAAAAAAAAAAAGACAGCAAGAAAAGAAGTCACACACATAAATAAAAAACACTACATGAAAATTAGTGTAATATAGTAGAATTTTGACTTACCATCAAAAATTACATGAAGTATATATAGACACATGACCACCCCACAGAAAAGACTGTCAAAAAATCTCTTCATTTTAATTAAAACTGCTCTAAATATTTTCTCAAGTCATTCAACTTTAATATAGAGAAAAGTGCCTAGTTACCTTATGCTTCAACATGATAGTTTCACAGATTTTACAATCCAAAGCATCTACTGAAATCAATGGGTTTTTTGCCTGAATGAAAATAGCATCAGGGTTGTGAAATAAAATGTGAAAGTTAACATAAAAATGAAATATCCAGTTTGAAAAGCAAGTCAATCATATAATACATTAGATTGATCAGGATTTAAGGCATTCTTACAGCAACTCCATATGATGCAAAAGAATTATATTTTTAAAATAATTGAACAGTTTAGCAGCATGAAAAGAAATAAGTAACTGTTCTGGTGTGTGAGATCAGAGATCAATAAATAAGTACTTAAATACTTAAATAAGTAGATCATATTAATTTAGAATTAGAAAGATATATTTCCCACTGCTTTTCTAACTCAATAGCAAGTATATAATCTTCGTGTTTGTAGTAGTTTAGGATGCTCTAATACAGTTTACTTTCCCTACAATGCAATTACCACACAGTTAAAATTTTTCAAAAAGATGTCAAACAATTTAACTTTGAACTTACAACATTTAGAATTTTTTCTGTAAGCAATAGCTGGCAAAATAATTTTACAATTTCTAGGGACTTTTTCTCTATGTTCTATCATTTACTTTAAATAAATACAAGCAAAACCAATTTGAATGCCATTTTAATTCCATTACCATTGCTGCTCTTGTGTAGAAGTTATCGTTTCATTGAATGAACTAAACGAATGCTTTATCAATGTAAACTGAAATATTTGGGGCATGCTGCAGGTAAAGGTGAATGTTTTTACAGCACACACTCTCCTAAAACAGACTATTTATCATTCTTTGGAAAAGGGGACATGAAAAAACAATACTATGTGTGTGGCCTACATTACCTTCACTTAATGCACTAAATAAAGGTTTTTTAGAAAATTGTGCAGTTTCTGCACCATTGATAATCTGACAGTAAGTATTTATTGAAGGTAAAACACTCATTGTCTGTTGACACTATTTGTTTTAATATATAATCTTGCTAACCAAATGATCTTTAAGCAATGCAGATAAGCAATGGCATGCAAAGGGTCACTTAAATGCCAATTTGACTGTTTCATAAACGTAAGCATTCTTTTCCCATGACTATTCTCAGCTACTTAATTGAAAGTATTATCCATTTACAAACTTAAGGCCTGCCATAAAAAGGCTCTCTTCTGTATCCAATAGACCTTTCAGGACCCTAAGAACAACAAAATCTAATAAATAAAGGTTCTTTTTCTTTTCCTCTTTTCTTATAGAGAAGTGAAGAAGTAACCTATGGTACATCTAAACAAAGCTATCTGTAAAGATCTTATTAGCAGTGGGGACCATAAAACTGAAGAGTCTGACTTGGCATGGGATGGACAGGATCAGTTAAATTAGGACACAGTCTGTACTGCTTTTGTAATCCACACTCCTACTAGAGAGCGACAGATGCACCCTATGACAAGAGCAAGGTAATAAGCAGTTGTCCTTAAATTACAGCTCTCCATGTAAAATCTCCTGAATTTCAGACTAGCACTGACTGTAATACAAATTCAAGTTAATGAATTTTTAATACATCTTCTCTATTTAAAGATGATGACTTACAGCTGGCATTGCTTATATTAAATTTGTGGTATTTTCCATTGTTTGTTTTTAATTATTTTGATTAGATTATTCTTGGAATTGTATGGACAAATGCAACCCCCACATAAGCAACTTCAGTTTCTGCTGCAGTCAAGAGAAGTTTCATCTGCATATAACAGGAATGGATGGCTCCTATGGGTTTTAAAAACCATATCACAACTACTTCAAGGAGCTAAACAGAAAATTAAACTAAAGATACTAGATTTAATCTGATCATTTAGATTGGGAATTGTAATTGTTCGGATCAAAAATTTGAAGGGTGACATTGTTTCTTCTCCGAATTTGGCAATATTGCTATGCACAAATAATATATTTTCAGCAATTTTTTTATAATTATGAAATAAGTTTTAAAAATTATTTGACATTTGAAGCCTGAGGATCAAAGATTGCTACAGGTCATGTTCTTTTACCGTGTTGTGATGACCTCCAGAGGTCTAGTCCAACCTCAGCAATTTCAGAGTTTGGCTTCCTGCAACACCTTAAATAACTTTAACTTTAACTGGCAGTGCCATCAATAGAAAAGATTCTTCTGAACTCCATCTAGAAGCTTGTATATGCAACAAAACAAAACAGCTTCAAGAAAATAAAGAGGTATAATCATAGCATCAAAAGGACAGAAACGGAACACAGTGGGGAAAATTGAATTTGAATTGTTTTGTTTGGAAAAGAAAGTGTATCTCAATATGAAAAGTAGGTCCACTTTTGGGCCCAGCTCTCCTTGCGACACCATGATAATTATTTCTGCAAGTCTGGGAAGGCTGTCTATCTTAATCTATAGAAACCCAGAGAACACAATTATTTCAAGAAAAATGCCTTTCTAGTTTCAATTTCAAGTCATATGTCTGGTTAAATGAATCATAAAACTATAGAATTTTACTATTCTTTGTCCATTCACAGCTTTATTTATCCCAGAATACAGCTGAGCACAATGCCTATATTTATTATCAACTTCAATAGTTTTTAAATTCTCAGAAGTAATCACTTCAGGAAAAAATTGTGGAAGTTTATATTTAATAAACAAGAACATAAATAACAAAATAAAAAGATGCTGAGAACTGTACAAGATACGTAAATGAGTCACTACCTCATGAAAAGCCTTATTCTTGTCAAATTTAAAGGAAAAGAAATTATTTGGTTAGATTCATTGTCATTTCCAGCTTTTGAAATGTTTAGATACTAAATATTTCTTTTTTAAAAGCCATGCAAGTGATACCCAAAGAAACAGAAGGTACTCAAGAACATTTGATGTCTTAGACACCAATATAGCTAATTGAAACAGCCAAAACTAAAATTACAGCAGCTGTTACTTTAAAATCGTGATTCAAAGTTCTGTGATCTCACCTATTTCATGAAACACACCATGCAGGGGGACTTCAACTCTCTCTTGTTAATGAATAATGGAGGTTATACTAAGCAGAGGGGAATTCCCTTAAAACTAAAATCAGAGAACATGACCCCATACACTTACTATTACATGGGCTTATAAAATTTATATAATATCATATTCTATTCAATTTTCTTTGTAGAAACACCAGTAAATTAGCACAAAACCTTTTTAATCAAAATATTTGTGTAATTTATTTACAAATGTAACATAAAATTACAATGACTAAAGCAAGTAGCTGCACTGTTTCATCTGACGCTTTGTGTATAATCAAATTTACAAGTTCATCTGCACAATCAATAATTTTTCTTGAAATTGCATGGGCTCTGCAGCCCACCAAGTAAAACAGAATAATTTTGAAATCATACATCATAATTTGCCAATGAATAGTCTTCTACAGAAATATTATTACAGAGTAAATTGCCATTATTTTCTTTTAAATAGTTCTGCCAAGGATGCATTAGAGCATTTAGCTAGTTCATATGAGTTTTTAAAACCATTTATCTTTATTTTTCTAAAAATTTATCTCCATTTCATGTGTAAAAGTGAATGCATGCACTTTGAAGCTGAATAATAGATTTGAATTATGTAGTACTTTTGTTAAATACAACCAAATGTTATCTTTTCAGGTGCCAATCTTGCAAACTACTTTCCCTTGTAAGATCACTGAACACACATTGATGAGCGTTGTTGCAACAATAGCACCCATATATTACCAAAATGCCAAGCTGCCCAAAATATTTAATACTGTCTAAAAAAACCTCATCAGTTTATTAGATCATCAAAGTATCCCAGTACTGTTAAATGACTGGGAAACTGTTTCATTGTCAAATAGTACTATATAATTTAGAAGTAATAAGTAATCTTATTATATTCTTCAATATAATAAAAATTACCATCAATGACACTGTACTGTGTATTGTTTAGACATAATTTGGCATATTTAGATTTGCGACCAACAGATTAACTGATGCTGCAGAGTATACTCTTCAAACTACCTACAAACATCATTATTAATGCCTTCTTTGCCTCACTCTTTGACAGTAAGACCAGCTCCTCTTCAGGTACCAAGCTTCCTGATCTGAAAGACAAAATGAAGCCCCCATAATCCAAGGGGAATTATTATCAGTGACCTGATATATCACTTAGACACACAAAAGTTTATGGGGACAGGTGGGATCCACACAAAAGTACTGAGGGAAATGTTGGAAGTGCTCACCAAGCGGCTTGTAATCATTTACCAGCAGACCTGGCTAACCCGGGAGATCTCAGTTGACTGAAAGGTAGTAAATGTTATGTTCATCTACAAGAAGGGACTGATGAAGGATCCAGGGAACTACAGGCCTGTCAGCCTCAGAGCCCAGAAAGGTCATGGAGAAAATAGTCTCAAATGCCATCACGTGGCATGTACAATCAGGGGATCAAGCTCAGCCAGCATGGGTTTGTGAAAGGCAGGTCCTGTTTGACTCACCTAATCCCCTGTGACAATATGTCCTGTTTGGTGTGAGGTAAAGGAGATCAATGTTGTGTTCCTGGATTTTAGTCAAGTTTTTGACGCCATTTTCCACAGTATTCTCATGGAGAAACTGGCTGCTCATGGTTTGGACAGATGCATTTTTCACTGGCTAGCTTGATGGCCAAGCCCAGAGAGCAGTAGTGACTGTAGTTACATCCACCTGGTGGCTTGTCACTAGTGCTGTTCCCCTGGGCTCACTATTGGTGTCAGACCTGTTAAACATCTTTATTGATGATCTTAATGGGTGAACCTCTAGCAAGTTCTCAGACAGCACAAGTTAGTCAGGAGTCATCTGCCTGAGGGTAGGAAGTTTCTAGAGAGAGATCTGGATAGGCTGGATCAATGGGCCATGTTGTATGAGGTTCCATAAGGCAAATTGCCTTAGATTTCCGTCACCAGCCCTGCCATTGTGTCACAATTACCCCCAGGCAGTGCTAGAGGCTAGGGACAGAGTATCTAGAAAGCTGCCCAGTGGAAAAGGGCCTGGAGGTGCCAGTCAGCAGCAGCTGGACATGATCCAGTGTGTGCCCAGGTGGCCAAGAAGGCCAATGGCACCTGGCCTGTATCAGTGGGGCCAGCAGGAACAGGGCAGTGATTGTCCCCCCATACTCAGCACTGGTGAGGCAACACCTCAAGTTCTGTGTCCAGTTCTGGGCCCCTCACTGCAAGAAAGATATTGAGGTGCTGGAGCATGTCCAGAGAAGGACAGCAGAACTCATGAACTGTCTGGAGCACAAGAAGTGGCTGAGGGAGCCGGAGTTCATTAGTCTGGGGATATGGGGCTGAGAAAACATCTTATCACTCTCTACAATTACCTGAAAGGAGGTTGCAATGAGGTGGGAGTCAGCCTCTTCTCCCAAGTAACAAGCATTAGGACAAAAGGAAATGGCCTCAGGTTGCACCAGGAGAGGTTTAGATTGGATATTAGGAAAACTGTCTTCACAGATAGGTTTGTCAATCTTCAGAAGAGGCTGACCAGAGAAGGGGCATTCCTGGAGGCATTTGAAAGAGGTGTAGAGGTGGCACTCAGGCTTACTGAAGGACTTGGCAGTGTTAGTGGTTGAACTCAATGATCACAGAGGTTTTTTCAAAACTGAATGTTCTATGACTAATATTAATTATATTAAACATTATAATCAAGTACAGATAGCAAATGATATTTCTGAAGTATTTTACTTCTGTTGAAGTACTGGAAACATTTCTGACCTGTAAACAGACAAATATTGTAAGGAAAATTTCAAAATGCAATTTTTTCTAATTTAGAAAAATTTTTAAAAAGTAATATAATTTAATTTTCATCCATTTTCTTCAATAGAACTCTAACCCATTTAACGGGAGTAATTTTGCTACCACAAAGGCTGCTAGGAAAAACTAATCCTTCTCTGTAGAATGCCTACCAGCTGAAACTGTTCAGGTGACTTAGGGCTCTACTGTATGTTCAGTGTAGCCCCATGGCAGAATGCAGTGCCAGGACTGATGGGGAATATCTGTCATCTCCCTGTGACTCACTCCCAGAGCTTCCCTGTCTCTCACTCTTCAGAATAAACTGTGTGCATCTTTGGAGCTTGGCTGACCAGGAAAGTTGGCTGCTAATGCTCTGGAATTCTAGGCCCATGCTTACCTCTCTCCACGCCTTTTTCCACTCAGCTTGAAGAGACACAATCAGGGCCAAACTACAGTCACTGGAAGGAGCTAAAAAAGCAGCTGAAACAAGGCCCTCAGACATTCAGATGTTTTCTCATTTTGACTAGACCTCTGCTTTATGATGACCAGCCCTTGAAACAACAAACTCACAAATACTGAGCCATCAAAATACATTTCATGTGTGTCTGTCTCATCCTCTTTTCATTCTGATCTTTCATCTCTTTCTTCTCAACACCTGCATCTGTGTTCCCATGTAGCTTTTCCAGCCTTGTTCATCTCATTTATTTAAGTTTAGGCCAAGGCCATCTGGTACCTCTGCACATAACAGTGCCCAGTAGAAACATATCCCTTTCTTGGTTGTCCTTCTCATTATATCATTGTGAACATAACAAATAGTGTTATTTGTTTCACAGTAAGTGTAAACAACATTTTTAAGGAAAAGTAATAATTTATATCAAAGCTGCAGAAGGAATTAGGTTAGGGTTTTATTTTACTGTTAGGGTTTTGTTTCAGTGCTAAAAACTGACAACACATGAGAAAAGATATTATTCCGTTTTGGGAACAAATGTGTCCTCCTGTCTGTATACACTTGATAGGTGTTCTCCACTGAAAAACCTAAGCTTTATAGAATTTATATACTAATGACAGGTTTTTGTCATGTGAAATATCACAAAACTAAAAGGATATTGAGCATTAAACTATTTTCTAGGAAGGCTCTACTTGTCAAATGTAGATTAGGATTCTATTTATACTTTGTTCCATGTATAATCTTCTTTCCAATCTCATAAAGAAAAGCCTAACCCAACATCTGACCGAATGAACCTTAATTTATTTTTTCCTCTAACCTTAAGCTGCAAGACCAGTATGAAGACCTGTTTTTTAAAGAGCAGGTGGTAAGGAAACAGCTTGCAGACCCCTGCATGCTATAAAGTATCAAAACCCTAAGCATGGGGAAAACAATACCATCTCACAATAGTACTAAACCTCCTTACCTGCTTCACCTGCTTTTTATATGTTAACAGCTCATCTTTAGGCCAAGACTTATTTTCTGCTGCTTGAGATTCTTTCTGAACTTCTGAGGGAAAGAGGAAAAAAATGCTGCAAAAGAGAAATGTTTAAAAAAATTTTAAAACATTTCTGTCCTCCCTGACAGGCAATTCAGCACAGTATTTATTATAAGCAATTATTCTTTCAAAATCTACAAAATACCTAGAACATTGTATCAATTTATCTTAAACCAAATATTTCTTCAATATTTCTTCAGCTAATTAGATTTTCAAAAAATAAACATAGTAATGGGAAAAGGACCTACAATGTTTAACATTAACATTTATAAAATTTCTTATCAAAGGTCTGGTCTGTTTCTCCTACAGACTGCACTGGTAAGAAAAACAGCTAAATATAAGAAAAAACATATATCAGAAATTTATATCAACAGATGTATGATCCTTTAAAGCAAATAAATCAGAAATGTCTCTAAACATCAAGCTATTCCCCAAACATATCTAAGTTCAAATATTTGAATTTTGAAAACAGTTTGAATGACAAGGATAGAATGATGGGCACTAATACATATGAATATAGATGGATGTCTTATGATTGCATTTCCCTAATCAGCATGCTACTTAATAAAAGCCAAATTCTTTATATCTTGCAGTTGGAAAATTAAATCCCATATGAAAAGGAAAGAATAAGAGACACAAAAAAGAGAGAAAAATAAAGGTATACTTGTGATTTATGAAGTACCAAAATGTTTTCAAGGAGTGTTGAATTTCCTTTCCAGTTTTATCAGTTTCAAATATGAACTACCTATCTTAACAACTCACAAGCAAACAGAAGCACTATAAACTTATTATATTTTAACATTCCTAGATAATTCAGAATGTTACCAAGCTTGCTTGGTGAAAACTTGAAGTCCATTTTTTATTCCTTCACGTTCTACTGGTGCTGATTGTATAAGTGAGAGAAGAAAACTAGTGTCAAACAAGAATGCTAAAATAAAATTGTATTACTGCCTTACAGAAAAAAAAAAATCAAAAGAACATATATGTGTAAATTAAATTTTGAGCCTTCATTATACAAATTAGTTTGAAAGAAACAAGTGCATTCAGAGACAAATGATCTTAGGCACATCTTTTGCAAACATTTACATACATGTTTAACACTTTACAGTAAATGACTCCTCCATGGAACTGCTCATAGTAAAGAAGTTTACAGGCTGAGTGCAATTCTCAGTTAATAATTTTCTCTAGAGGAGAAAATTATAATTTCTGCACTAGAAGAAAGTAATTACAAAATTTAAAGTTGTTTTTAGTTCACAGACATACTATTCTTGCTCGTCAAAGCAGTGGTTCAATAATTTCCCTTTCTGGATTTAAAAAAAAAAAAAAAAGGTAGAATTTAAATGCATCAACAGCTCTCAGCACAGGTGGTACTTTTAAGGACAGTGTGTGTTCTGAGCTCCTGGTTAGCACACACGGACTTTACCCATTGTGGCACACACTGCCTTGAGGAGCCCGGTGCTAAAGATAGCAGCAACAAACAAGTATCACAGCTAAGCTACATTTCATTGGGAGTACCACTCTCTAAAACTGCTGCTGAAATGTTAAATATTTCTGGGGAAAGAAGCCACAAGCTAATGCAAGAATGAAGTAAAGTTACCAGTTGAACTTGTATTAGAAACAGTCTGACACATCATAGTTTACTGTCACCATAAATGTCCACTTGCTTTTTAATGTAAGAACCTTCTACACAGTAGAATTTTTATTCCACTGAGTGTATTGTCCACCCATCAGTTTTAAAATACTATTTTATAAGGCCTAGGCTCTTTTGCAAAACTTTAATACCATATAAGAAGAATGATTTGAACTGTAATATTTTTTCTTTTTTTCTTCTTTGTAATTTTCTTTTCATTCTTAGAGAATGAAAAGGAAAAATGGAGTCTGTAGGCTAACAAAAAGTGATAGATGCATATAATAACATAAAAATGTAAACTAGAAAGCAATAAAAAGCTATGGCCTTACATGTACATGTTGTACATGTTGGTGCCTTCCTTTAACCATCGCCATAAGAACAATGCACTGAAATAGAGGAGTGGAGAAACAACTCACACTAAAAGAAAGAGACAGAGCATTGTCTTCTCAAGCTGTACCAACCAATCTTCCTCTTCTTTGCAATACATGCATATTTTCAAGCATGGTGATTACCAAAGACTATTAATTATTATAGTCCATCTAAGCCAACTGTGATTCTTTCCCTATGCAATTCATGGAATCAAAGAGAAATTTTCACAAAGCCCTTCACTCAACCTGGCTGGATCAGCTTATTTTTCTAAAGTATTGCATAATATGCAAATTGTACATATTAATTTTCCTGCTCTGTCAAAACCAACAGAATTATATGAGCAAATATTATCTTAATTTCATTTTAGACACCTGTACATGGTATGTGATTGCTTTCCTTCGTTGGGTGTGGTGTTTTCTCTTTTGTCCATTCACCCTGGTTGAATCACAGGCACAATGCTATTGTGTTATTTTAATAAAATTATGTGTACTGTCAATATACATGCTATGGGCCATGTGTTTGCATTAACAAAAACAAGGCCAAAGAGGTGTGATATGAACTTTGGGAGATGACAGAACTATGGCAACTCTTAATTCCTGTGGGAATCTGTTCTTGAGTGTTCTGCCCATCCTCGAGGAAGATATTTCCCACACTGGTATTTTAACCTAAGTAGTGATAGAAACTTCTACTGTGCCTTTAAAAAAAAAAAATCTTTATTTGACACAGTATTCCTCCCAGAGGTGTAGAAAATTATTTAGGTACCCCAGAACTTTGATAACTCATTATAAACTATTTTAACATTTTCAGTCATTTTACTACGTTTGTGGTATCTGTTGTAATTGAAAAGAGTCTTTTATGAAGTTTATGAACCCTTACATAAAGAAAACTAAAGATTTATTATTGCTGTTGTTTGAGTTTGGGTTTTGTTTGTTTTTTAATAATTACCTCTAAATAATCTGATTTGAGTATTTTTATCTGGTAATTCTTTGATTCCTCATTTGGTAGTTACATGCTGCTAAAGGAAATTATTTTCCTCTCTGTTTTGAATTTAAAAGTGCAGAAATAACCCTGATAAATGGCAATACAAAGTCATTTGAGATGTGTGAGTATACAAATATGTTTTAGCATCGTGAATTTATACAAGTTGTTTATACACAAACACAGCTAATGACCCTTTGACAAAGCTTGAAACTCTGAGACGACAATCTATCTGATTAAAATAAATTTGTTTTTGATGTTATAACAGCAGCTTACTGACCTAATAAGGATTAATCTCCAACTTTGTTAGACTCAAGTGTAAAGATACTCCCTGCTCCATAAAGTCAGTAGGATTTTTAAGACAACCATAAATTATGTGGGCCTAATGATGATAAGGAACTGTAAAATGATTGTTGACAAAATGTGACAAACTGAACTGGTTATTTTGAGAAAAAAAGCAGATAGATTTCAGAAGTCCACAACCATAAGAACCCACGATCTGTCCCAAGGTAGTTTCATGCAATTTTATGAAAATAAAATACCTTTTTTATAAAAAAAAAAAAAAGTTAAATGAGTTAACTGTTCCAGGAAAAAAAATAAATCTCCAGGTGTCCAGAAGTAGTGGAGCCCACTCCTGGACAGTAAGCAGCTCCCTTCAGCAAGTGGCAGAAAGTGTCACAGCCTTTGCCATGATTAACCATGTTGACTGCACTCAATACTGTGTGCTTCCTGAATTTATAATGTATTGCAAACTCATAATAAAAAGCATCAAGGTCATGATTTAGGTACGTTTTAACAGATCCTAAGACTATGAGAAAAGAATTCCACAGGTTATGCGTAAGCAAAAATAAGAAAACCAATAGGAAGAGTCAGGGGTTTTACCACTCGAACTAAGCAAAATATATTGAAGTCTTTTGTTCATTTCCATGATATTTCCAAAATATCTGATAGTACTGAAAGTGGGAAGGAAAAAAAACAAACATTTTCAGCAAGCCTCCTAAAAATATTGTTTTATTATACATCTGTATATCTGAAAGATAATTGTCATGTCAGCTGAAATATAAAGAATATATAGACCAAATAATAAGTGAGACGCTGCAATGTCATAAGCAAATACCTGTTTGTATTTGTTTATAAAGCAAATACAAGTCTATATATTCTTGAATTTTTTCTACATCAAATCACTTCTGTGAGTATTAATGCATTACAGAGAAAGCTTTAAGGCCTCATTACCTAGATTAACTGAAAAGAGCTGGAGATGTTTTTAAAAAACTAAAAAGTATATTTTATAATGTCTTGCTGCTAGTACAGTGGATTCTATAGTCCTTGTCTAACAGAAACATTCAAATTTGGTGTTATTTTTAGAAAACAAAAATGTTCATTTACTTACCACCCTCACAAGTTCATTTGAGAAACTAGCTACAGAGGAGCTGCAGGTTCTTCACCAAGAAAGTGCATTTCTGAGACAAATATAAATCTTCCTATGGATACTAAGCCAAGAATATACTTAGTATCTCAATATACTTCAGAGCCAGCAATAAGCCTCAAGGCAAAAAAAATACTTCAGAAATTGGAAGTTACATTATTCTTATAACAGAAATTCTAAGTTTTCACAGAAAATATGACAGGAAACATAACTTAAACCAACTTCCCTCAGAGGACACAGGGCAGTAATGATGTCCCACCAAGTTGGCATTTTATTCCCAGATAATGCTATTTCTGTGCAGGGGGAAATCCAGCACTCAGCCCCCTCAGCAACACCGTTAGGCGTCAATGCTAACCAGTTATTAATGCAAGATGGAGAATAAAATAGAGAACATAATTTTCTTCTTTTTTTAGTGTAAGAAATGAAAAAACACATTTAATTCTGAGAGTTGGTTTTCATTTTAGCAGTTCTATTCTTCTCTTTCTTCATTTAAAACAATACATTTCTTACTTTATTAGAAAATGTAAGCTATGAAGCTCAGTGTAAAGTAAATAATCCATGCATATTAATAATAATAATAATAATAATAATAATAATAATAATAATAATAATAATAATAATAATAATAATAATAAAGAACTGCTAAACAACCAAATTATAAGGTCACTTCAGTTCAAAAGACAGATGCTGTAAAAGCCTTTGAATTCAAGTAAAAGCTAATCAGCAACATGGGTCTCATTCATCCTCATTAATGTCTGTATGTCTGTACCTAAAAGTACATTAAACAACAAAAAATTGGAAGAGAAAACCATCACTACATTCAAATTTTAATTTTATTTTTAGCATGATTGATCAAATATTAGAAATTAGGAACTAAATATCACATTATCCCAGGTCAGATTTTCAAAACTCAGAGCCCAGCAGCTCACACACATACAAACAAAATAAAATCAGTTCATTTCACATATCAGGACTTAGCAGAGGCCAAACTTTGAAAATCTTACCTAGAGTGTAAGACAAATTTATAAAAAAAGTAAGAAAACCATACAACGCCACACACATTACCAATCATTACTAATTATTTCTGGTAAGTTAAACAACAGTTTTCCAGGTCTAATAATTATTTAACTCTCTTCACATCTGTCTGAAAAATTTTTGTAATCAACTGACAAATTCCAACCAAGCAGACCCAAAATATTGCGCCCCTAAAATACAAGCCAAGCAATGAAGAAGCATCATCCCAATGCTGCCTCATTGAGAAAAGTCTTCTCTGATTTCAATGCCAATTGATATACACCATAAAGTGTACAGAAAGTGGAGACACTGCAAATGCCTGAATCACACAAAATAGCTCTCAGAAGAAAATCAAATTAGAGGACATAAATCTACTGGAAATGCGGCTTGATACTACTGCTGCTCGTGGACTTTCACGTTTAAATTAACTTAGTTCAGGTGGACTTTCTTCTCTTCTAGTTCTTATATTCAGTCAAAAGGACTGAATCTCACATTTAGGGAATGTAAGGTACTATACATATTAGCTGTCTTGGAACTGAAACAAAACTATCAGCCTTGCCTACAGAGGACAAAAAGCCATCTGATACTAAGTCAACCGTTTAGTTAACAAATAAATTGGCAAACTTCTGGTGAAAATCTAGGAAAGTTTTCTCTAGCATCTACCTGATGCTCAGTATTACTGATATCATTTGCTGTAATTAATTGAAGGAATTCTCTTGCAGAGAGCTTACATGAAACTTACAGTTTCTTACAGAAGCTTACATGATTTACACAACTATGACAATAAAAAAATGGTCTTATGAAGACTTCGCAAGCTAAACAATAACTAAAAGAAGCAATACTTCCAATGATATTTCAAATGCATATAATGCACTTTTTTATGTCATACTGGAATAGGTCAGCTTAAAAAGAGAAAGAGATTTTTTTTTAAAATGTTTTAAATTATAAGCAGTATAATAAAAATAACATCCCAAAAGAGGTAATGTTTGTGTTTTGATATTGGCTCATTTTCATTTTTAAGAGACATAAAAAAACTAGAAGAAGAAAGAATGAAGAATATTCTGTGATACATTAACGTCTTTATCCATTTGTTTTGTCTGGCTTCTGTGTTGTAACACATTGTAGGAGCTGGAAAAAAAATATACAACTCTTACAAAAGTAATATTTACCCAAGAGAAAAATATTGCTCTTGTTCTGGTTCATCTAGTTCCATTTTTATGTTGTATTTCTGGCCAAGAACACTCTCCAGGAGTTCTTTGATCATCTGGTCTGAGGGAGATGGAGAAGTACACTGCAGGAAAACAATTATTTCATCAATAGACCTTGCAATCACTTTCACGAGCAGCACTGGGGTGGAAGCAGACTCTTCAGATTTGCTCTGCTGGAAGTTCTTCTCGTATATTTTTGAAATGTCTGGTCTAGTTATGTGCCTTGCCTCTTCCAGCTCTTCTTGAGCAGACCTCATACTTGGCTGCTTACTTCCTTTTCCCAGAATCCTTCTCAATTCAACATCTAAATCTTCTTGCTTTGCTTTTGAAATCAGTGTCTCTTCTTACAGCCTTCCCTAGTTATTTTTGCTTTTCTTGAAATGCCTTTATTTGTCTCAGAATCTGTAGAGCTAAATTCAATGCTAACTTTAATGACTGTACCTGTTTCTTGAGTTTTAACTCTTTAAATTCTGAAGATCCATGTGTAGCATACACATTCAATCTTTAACTTTACTCACAGCTTTTGTCTTTTCTAATGAGATAAGGGAGCTATTAACATGAAAATTAAACCCAGAGTAACTTGACTTCTGAGGTGGTGCTGAGTGTTTGACCATTACAATTTTTTTTTTAGTGGTACCTGCAAATGATGCTACTACCAGCAGAGTTGCAACTGTACTTTCATGAATAAAGTTGCATGTTTTCTGTTGACTTTTCTGGAGCAACTTCCCTGATTTTTTGTCAGCACTGTCTTTTTCCATACATTTATTTCTTCTTCTCATCACCCTGAGTCAGGAGTTTGTTTTTTCATGTCTCTTGATTCAGAAGACACCCTTACTTTCTGTGAACTTCAAAACACCCAATGAATTAATTAAGAATATTTTTATTCATATTCATGACAAGCTTATGTGGGCTCTTTGACCTCTGGAGAGGATAATGTTCTTAACTGATGCAATTGATCTGGTTTAAATCTTCCAAAAAGGGCTAAATGCTCATGTTTCTGAGAGTAGTAACTATTGCTTGTTTGATCTTCAGACTATTCCACTGAGATTCCTCGCATTTAGTCTCATGTTCCCTAATCACATTCAATGCTTCCACATAATTCAGTCCTGAGTACTGATGACTTCTAGCATTTTTTTCTTACTGTAAGCACTCTGTAAACTCAAGCAGAAATGAGGATTTGTATTTTATGTACAAAAAGAGGCGCCAGCTTGCAAAAGCTCCTCCATTTTGCTAAGGGTCCCGTTGGTGTCAACAAGACTGTTCCAAACAAGTGTTATGAAGCACCAGCAATGGCGATCAGCATTTTACATCAGGAAACAACTGAATAATTTCTAATTTTGGAAGTACAAGTCGGAAATTGGAAGGAAAATTCAAACCGAAAAAAAAAAAAGAAAATGACGAATAAATCTCAACACTTTCCCCAACTAACCACAAAGGGGTTTCCATCTACAAAACAAACAAATAAACAACAAACAAGCAACAAAACCAGTGACCACTGGGCCACTCCAAGTCCCAGTGGTGCCTGTCCTGCAGGGTCACCTGGCTGGTGGCCTCGTGGTCCTGAGGCAGAGTGGGAGCAGGGCAAGGACACACTCGGCACCCGAGCAATGCGCTCCCGATGGGGCAGAGCGGGGGCAGCGCCCGCTGCCATCCCTGCCCGCAAACACCCCGCACTGGGACTGGGATGTGGGGCACTGGTGGGGCACACAAGTGAGCTGAAAAGCGTCAGCCTCACCTGGGGATGTCATTAGAAACACGTTTCTTCCAGCTTATCCACAAGATCTGAAAGGCACAGGATGGGCAAGGAGATTTGTACCTTTTTAGCCTCATTTCTCTCCAGTGCATAGCAGCCCTGCTCTGCTCTCAGCTATGGGCTCTTTTCATGCTTTGCCCCGAGAACCAAATATATGAATGGCTCTTCTGGGAACCTGTGCACCATGCAGTCACTTCCTGGGTGCTATTGTAGACACATTTTTCTTACAAAACTAATTTTTTTTATTGTCAGAGTCTCAGCTTGGAGATGAAACCCCAGTCAGCTATGTTCATCATCATCAATAAAGTTTCTGTTATTGGGATTTTATTTTCAGTGCTAGCAGTTGTGTGCAACAGGAGAGACTCCATCTCAGAGTCCATAAACCAAACACCTTTGCAGTATTAAATGAGCAAAAAGTCTGAAACCAGTTGTCTGAGAGGAATCTTGGCCCCATGTCTCGCAGTTTTACCAGCCAATCCTTCAGAAAACAGAGATGTTGAACATATTTGATAGCTGTCTGGTGAAAGTTAAATTTTAACAGTAGTTCTTTTCACACGTGAAGTATGAACTATAAGTGGACTGAAAAAAAAAATAGTGCTTCAGTATCCAACGAATATAGGGAAGATAGCACGTACCAAAAGTCATCAAACTTCATGAAAGAAATTTAAAAATTTAAAAAATTAAAATTAAAATTAAAAATTGAAATTAAAAATTAAAATAGCTTAGAAATTAAAGAAAATGTGGAAAGTTGAATTGAATCTATCAAGATGGTCATAACCAGGGCACAAACCTACAAGGTCACATTGATCATGTTCCCGAGAAGGCTGATGGTCTAGAACACATGCAAAGACAAGCACATTATAGCGGTAAGGGGGGGGAAAAGCAGTTTCCCTCACATAATATGAATGCAAAGTTCTGGAATTTCCATGAATTTCTGGATTGTAACAGTTCACAGAATTATGCTTGTAATCCACTTAAGTCTCTTATGGTGAGTAAAAATGAAGACTTTTTTTCCCCCCTTTTCCACTTTGGAACCTTCAACACCCATATGATAACAAGGAACTGTAGGGACTAACTGGAGATACTGGATTCAAATATGGCATTAAATTGCTTGAAAAGCTCCACTGATCTAACAGGAAAATGTCTCCTATTATCTTCTCCTTTCTTTGCAGCTTTCAGCTACATTTTTGTAGTTTTTTTTCTCTTGCCTAATTGTATTCCAGGAGTTCAAGGGGTAGCCAGTGTCTTTCTTGCAAATAATGTAACTTATAATAGGCTAGATGGCCAACTTTCAGCTTGATAATGCAACTGAAAACCTGTTGAAGATGAAAACGTCATTAGCCAGTCATTACATGCCAATTAATAACAAGTTTTCTCTTCTGATAGCAAGACAACTGATTAAGGCCTTGTAATACGCCCTAAAAAGCCTCTTTATTTGGTGCCTAATTTGCTTCTCTCTCTCTCTCTCTAGCAAGAATCCCTGAGTAGCTGGAGAAGCACTAGGTAGAATATCAAATAGTTGTTCTGTGTTGAAAGATTCCTGTTAGCAGTCCAGGCCATTAAAGCAGTTCAGAACAGGAATGAAGTGTTCGATTGCCACATTGAAGATGAATCCTATTAGCAGTTTAATGCAGACGTAAGCCTAGAGAACAGATTCATTTCAAACTAGTTAAACAGTAAGTAAAGCTTCAATGATTTCGTTTACCTAGAACAGTTCCTCTCTGCAGGAGTCACAGTGGGATGTGGAAGAAAAAGCCCTGCATGTGAAGAGGTATTTGCATCAGGAAGTTCCAGTAAGAACCTGCTGAATGACAAGAAGGATTTGCATTTTAAAAAATAGTCTTAGGAGGAAGAAAAAAACCTTAGACACAAATTTCCTCTTGAGGTTAATAGTGGTGATAAAATGGCAAATGAGTATGCTCTGTTATCTTACTGCATCTGTTGGTTGTCAGTTCTGCTTGTAGAAGAGCAGGGGCTGGTTCCTGGGGAATGCAGGTAGCTTGTGAGAAAGGTTCAAGCCTTAGCTCATAAACATGTCCTGTGTCTCTCGGTCTTGTAAGCAAAGCAAGTAAACAGTCAAGGGGATCTGATGTCAAGTTAAGTCCCAAATGCTGTATTTTTTCCCCTACTAAGCCACACATGATGCTTAGCAGCCATTCCTGGAGAAACTGTTGCAAATATATCCCCTAGATCCTTTAGCTTGAGCTCCAGAGATGATAGGTGCAGAGATTCTCATCTCTGATACACAGGAAAACAGGGAAAGCTTTTTCCCCCCTTTCGCCAGGTATTATTATTATCATCCCTTAATGATCACAGTGATGCCTGAAGCCTTAGGGTGGAGGTTTTTATAAAGTATTTAGTTAAACAAGTTAAGTCCTATCTCTGAAGATTGCAAAGTCCAAAATTTAATCAGTAGATGAATCTTTATAGTTAGCAAATGGACCTAGATTTGGAAAACCTTCTGCAAGTTCAGTCCCTGGGTACACATTATTATTTTTCATAATTAGACCTCACCAGATCACTAAGCTTTCTAATGTCACATAAATTGTGTTATCCAAGTTATTAGTCTATTAATGTTATAAGGAAGGGCTTTCTCTTCTTAGGAAGAAAAGCAATCATTAAAAAATTGTTCAGTTGGTTGGAGAAATTAAAAAATGCAATTCCTCATCTCTGAAATTGTCTGATTCCATGTCATGTAGGAAGTCCCACTCCCAGTGCTTCCATGATCCAAGCACATGATGGAGTGAAATGTACATAGTGCCCCACAGACCCTGGGGGGCAACTGGAGTTAACTGTGCTTCCAATAGCCACCTTCATCTAGGCAACCAGAAATCAGGACTTCATGGTGCATATGAAATACCTACAGACTGCTACAGACTCTCGAGAAAATACCACAGAGAGTCCTTGCAAAGATGAGTAGCTGTTGTTTAAAGGAAAAAGGAAAGTAAGAGCATAACTACTTTGCTAGTTCTGTGGCTCACACCTAGTTTGACACTAAATGTTAAGCCTCACCTTGGTGTCCTTTTCCAGCTGGCTGTGAAAATCTTTGCACATGTCATAGTCCAGAAGTTCCCCAGCCCTGCTGGGGAGTGCTGCATTCCCTCTTCTGCTCTGCTACAGCCAAAACACTGATCATGTCTGCCTCAGCAGTACACGTGCCCAAAACTATTCCCCAGTGCAATAGCTCTAGAAAGGGTAAGAGCATACTTACAAATACATTTTTACCATGACATCTATGTAACATTATTCCATTTTAGAAACCAGAACAAAGAGAGACTGAATGTCTGCCAAAAGTCCCCTAGTAGAACCAGTGGTAAATTCATAACTGAATCTGTGCTTTTGATGGATAGTAAATAGAAAATCAGAGGTATGTATCCTCAGGGTAGAGGCTACTGTTTGCTTTTCCAGGGCATCAACATCTTTAACATTTCTGCCAGGTGTATATATATATATAAAATTGTCATTTTAATCAGAGTAAATAGATTAATTATAAGCTAAAATACTGAGCTGTGAATTATGGGCACTGGGAAAGTAACACAAAAAGTTCTCTGATGGTTACAGTGTGGGGACAGTAATCTGTAGCAGAAGAGTAGAGTAAACGGCAGAGGGGTTATCTCTTAAATCAGACAGTGTCAATACTGAAAAGACTTTTTGTTAGTTGCATCCAACTGAGCTGAAGGAAATACATTTTTTTTCCCAGTGATCAATCTATATTGAATCCCTTGTGCAGTAAGCAGCCATGGAAAGGTTTTGTGGAATTAGTATTATAAATCACACATTCAATCCCTTTGTGAGTGTTGAAAGCATTGTCATTCTTCTAATCACTATATCCTATCTTTGATCCATAACAAATATGCACACCCAGCTCTACTAATCTCCATTATGATTGTAAGATATCTGTATTTGCCAGTGCCATGCCAGCAGAAATAGTTAACATTTTTCTTCCTCCTAGGATTTTGGGCTTTGTCTTTTTTTTTCTCCTCTCCCCATTTAAGAACATTGTTATTTCATAATATAATGGAATTCAAAATAGATATAAATAAGAAGTTGAAAACAAGGTGAAGGTCTTTTATTTTAAAACATATTTATAATGAGAACATCAATACAATGAGAAAATCACTTGGTCATTTTGAGTGATAATGATTCACAGATTTATTTTTAGTATGATATGACTGTAATATTTCCAAGTATATGCTATTTTACTATACAGCCCAAGAGAAATTACATAAGTTACTTCTGAAGTCCATCACACATGGCTGTTATTACAGGCACAAGGTCAGAGAATGCCCGGCTTTGAATAAGGCTACAAGTAATAAACAGAGAAATTACAGCTAAACAGCTGACAAAGTCTTTTCTGAGATTGGGCCTTTGCTTGCTTTAGTTTTAATATTTGATTCTATTTGATCATATCAAAGATATATCATATCTCTACTCTCCATTGTCTTTCAGTTAATACAGCAGGTTTCCAATTGGCCATTCCAGTCCAGCTCTTTTGTTTTCTTAGGACAACAGCTTGATCGTGAATACATAGGTGTAGATATGTATGTGTTTGTAGATCTCAAAGCTGAGGACTCAGCTTTGGTGGACATAACAACCCCACTTAATCACAAGAAAAATCTTCACATCACAGCAACAAAAAGAAACGCCCCTCAGAGGGCAGGAAGAGTTGCCTGAAGGGACTGAAGTTCCAGCTACCTCTAAGGATAATGTTAGAAAAGATTTAAAGGATTTCTGGGAATGGATGGATTTTGGAGCAAATATTCATAGATCCTGAAAAAGGGGAAATGGTTTGTTCAATGAATAATGGCAAAGCCAACTGATGAACTATGAAATTGTTTGGATGGAAGAGAGTTTTCTCTTTAGGAGGAACTGAATGAAAGTTCTGATGTTAGATTCCCTCTCAATCATCCCAACTTAACACATAAAAAGCCATAAATACCAAACTACATGCATGGCAGAAACACTTAGGCAGCTGCCTTGCTGGCTAGAAAGGGACAGAGGAAGAATGAATTAAATCTGATTCTTACCTTGTCTCACCCGTAGCTGCACAGAGAAGTGAACCCAGATGATAGCAGCCATGTGGTGGTCTAAATAATCTTCATTATGTCAGTCTCTTTAAACTACTCAGCAGTTTTCAAATTCACCTTTGAAGTACTTGAAGCAGCAGCAGAAGCTTAGATCTGCTGCTGGAATGATGAACCACTACTAAACAGCTTCTTCCCCTGAGAAGTCCTAACATGTTACTAAATGCAGACCTTCCTCTACTTTCCCATAGGCACTGGTTGTCTATACTGTTTTATGGATCTCATGATTTTAAGGTGTTACCAGTTAATACTCACATTCTCACATTTCAGTGTAAAACTACAGACTGTGTTAGGGTCTCTGGTCATCCTTTTCCAGGACAAGCATCATTTTTGCTACACACAGGTTAGTTATGTCCTATAATGGAGTAAATGGCCAGTGTTTCTGTATATCTGTTAAAATGCTGCCACATAACCCACAATTGCTCACTATCCACGTTAATACAGCTCAAGAAAATGAGCAGTGAATGCAGCTTGAATTAATTTATGCTCTAGGAACTGCAAGCTGGATAACACTATGGAACTGCTCCCTGGGGAGGAGTTTAAATAAGCCAGCCTTTATTTTGAACATTTGATTCTTCAGACCTGTCAGCCAAGGAAGCCATCTAGAATGGATACTGGTATCTTTCAATTCTTTTCTGCAGAACTGCTGTAGAGACAGAGACAGTGAAATGATTTGTTTTTGCAGCTAAAGTAGAAGATAGCAAACAATTTGAAAATATATTGATATGCATTGAAAGAAAGGTAGCATTCCTTTACTCTCCATGCTCAAAATTAAAGGTATCAACCAAGACTACTTTCTGCATAGGAAAGTCAGTTTGCAAAGAAGCTAGAGCAGTATATTAAGATGAACGTTACAAAGAGTTGATATGCTCTGAATCTATTGTCCAATACATAGATATTGATTTTTATCAGTAAAGCAGATATTCTCAAAGATAACTCGCTGCAGGTTTTGGAGAAACAAGACTCTCAGATAGTGGAAATATCTTTGATTCATGCAGCAGGTATTTTTGGGGCAGGGAGGGCCCCATTAAGTTACTGGGCCAACTTTAGCAAAGAAATAATTATAGAATTCATGCATAGGTGCATATCTTATCAAGCATTATTTCTTATACCGGTTTGTTTAGATTAACTAACTACCTCATTAACTACTGCACTCACTACCTTAGTTTGCTTTCTTTGCTTCCTGCAAAAATTCATATATATATCCTGAAACACCATTTTTGGAACTTGGGTGAGATGCTACAAAATAGATGCCATCTGAGTACTTGTGTTTATCTCTGCATAATCATATTCTCATCTCTTCTGATACTGTTTCTTCCATGCCATAGTATTGTGGCTACTTCAAAACAAAATGCTCTTTAAAACAAAATAAATCAAGCAAGATTTTCAAAAATATATCAAGTAATTGAACGTGAACAGATGCATTGATTGAAATACATGACAGAAGCATTTACATTTATGTTTCAGTATATCATAACATAAATTAAAAAATTATAAGTGAAATAAATACCTACATGGCTGCTCTTCAATCAAATGATAATTATCAAGTGCATTTATTCTTGCATAAAGTAAAACACCCTTGGTCAATCACATGCTGAAGTGTGGGCATCCTGCCAGCTGGAGTTCTGAAAACAGCATACATACATCTAACCATTTTAGCAAAAATAAACTGATGGTTTACAATGGGTAATGATTTACCTAGTTAAGAACTCTTTTGTTACACTATAGAAAAAAAACCCAAAACAACACAAAACAGAAGCTTCCTTATTCTCCTCACTGTAACCATCGGATATCAACATTTGTAATTTTCCATTTCGTTATTTGTTCCTCTTCTTTAATTGGTCAGATACATGAGTATTTTCAGATGGTGGGATATTATTTGTTACGTCGTTCAAGTCTTATGATATCAGCTCTGCAGGATGCCTAGAAAATGAAATGCAGTGAACTGCACTGAAAATCATAAAATAAAATAAAATAAAATAAAATAAAATAAAATAAAATAAAATAAAATAAAATAAAATAAAATAAAATAAAATAAAATCTTTAATAAAATAAAATATCATTGCTGTAACTCAGTGTACTCAGGGCCTGGCAGAGCGGCCATGAAAGCAGCACGGCCCTGAATGTGACCCGTGAGAGCCCGCAGGCCCGAGGGCGCGGCAGGACTGGGCCTCGGCGGGGCCGCGCTCCCGCGGGCAGCCGGCGGCTCTGCCCGGCGCCCGGAGCCCCGGAGCCCGGCGGCGGCGGCGGCGGCTGAGGGGGCTGGAAAGCCAGGGCCGAGGGCCCGGCAGCGGGCAGGCAGGGCAGGGCAGAGCGGTGAGAAGCCTGGGCCTCCCTGCCATGGATGGCGCGGCGGAGAGGACACATCTAGTCCGCCCAGGAGAGCCAGACCACTGCTCCTGGGCTGGAAGAGGTGCTGTAGGAAAAGGGGATGCCCTACCTTGGGCCGGTCGGTGGGCCGGGCGGAGGAAGGAGGCCACTTGATCGTCACGGTCGAAGACTGGAAGACTCACTCAGCACAAGCTCAGAAGCAAATGTTGACCCCACGCAGTGCCCGCATCAGCCTGGGCCCTGGCCCGAGCGAGAGGACGGTGAAGAGCCACTTCTCGCCCCTGAGCTCCGGGGGCAGGGGCGCTGGACCGATCGCCCCGACGGAGGCTCCTCCGGGCGTGTCTGAGGGGAACCCCCGGGCTCTTCAAAATGCGAACTCGCAGGAGCATAGAACCGGGGCGGCTGTGCCTGTGTGAGGGGGGAAAACAGCCCACCGATCGGACGCCTTCTCTGTGGGCTCTCCCCAGAAGGAGAAGCACTACCGGCGGTCACCGACCCCTGCTCCCGGAGCGCCCAGGATCCCTCCCCGTCCAAAGCACCCGGCTCTGGGCACAGACACGTTCCCAGACGGTTACTGTTTGCCCGCTAGAATGGGGAAGGATTTCAGGTTGGAAACAGAAGGGAAGAAAGATTTCCCATAGTGGGGAGAAGGTGGGGGAGGCTGACGGGGTCCCACGGTGTTTTTAGCGACCTGCTGCACAGGTTTGGGCCACTCTGTAAAGCCGGGTATGAGAGACCCTCTGCAGGAGATAGTTGCGGGCAAAACGAAAAGAAAGTTGTACAGTACAGAGCAGGGAATGCATACCATGCCGAGATAACCTCGCAGCTCCTTCCCGAGCTGAACGCCTGGCCCGCGCAAGCACTGCCAAGAGAATCTGGTCCAAAAGACGGTAGTATTTTGGGTAAAATCGAGTAAGACCCTGCAAGTCAAATCGAAGGGCCGGCAGATGCTGCTGCTGCCAGGGGGAAATTAGAGCGGAAAGAATTGAAACAGTGCTCCACGTTAAAATTAAAGCTCCCGCCGCTTGCATGGGCCGCCCGGCCCACGCGTGGGAGAGAGCCTGCGGGCGGCGCTCCCGGGCGGCGCTGGAGCTCCGGCGCCGGCGGGCAGCGCCGTGCCGGGGCCAGCTCCGCTCCCCGTGGCGCTGCGGGAAGCCCCTTCCCGGGGGCGCGGCCACTCGGCCCGGCCAGACAGCGACGAGATTCCCAAAACTCAGACCCTTGCTGAGGGGCCTTTGCGGGGCCCAGCTCTTCCTGACAGTGCTGGTAACGCGGTCTCCCCTGGAAGTCCTGCTCCCGCTCCACACCCACATATTTCCGTATTTTTTAGGCCAGGTTTTATGTTTGCACCCTTGGCAGAGTGCACTAGTGGAGCCAAGAGCCGAGACCCTGATGCCATCTAGCCGGGTAAAGCAGAGCTCAGCTCAGCCTGCACTTTCTCCAGGTTGCACTAACAGCTCGTCCTGGAAAAAAAAAATTTAAAAAAAAAAATAAATAAATAAATAAGAAAGAAAAAAGAAACAAACAATCAAACAAACAAAAGTGTACAGAAACTGGTGCTACTCGAGCCAGAGCTGGGGAAAGACACTGTGTAATTTGGGACAGTGCTACTAACCTGACTCTTGAAAAACTCAGCTAGGCGCAACTGGAGAGCTCCTGGCTACTACACAGCGTCCCGCATCCTAGGAGAGTTCTTCTCTGCTGAGCCTTCTGCAAAGGAGGCTTATAAATCCCGCCGAACAAGCAGAGCATCCTACATAGGGCTTCACTACATAAAGGCTCAAGTGCAGGGCAAGGGCAGCTACCGAAATACCCACTTTTTCCTGTGGCCGTGGGCAGAGGAGTTCTGACTCTCTTCGGAACTTAAAGGAGGATTTTCTCCACCGGGGCTGCACCACAGCAATCGGGCTGAAGAGAATTTCCAGCAGCGGCTGGCTCTGAATCGGGCTTGGTTATTATACATCAAGTGGAGAGGCTCTAAGCAGATTAAGAGAGGATCCTGCCTGTGCTCTCACCTCTGGGAGCAGCCTCAGGAGGGAGCTGAGCCCTCAGCCGGACAACAGGAGGCGCTGAGGCTTTGCACAACCCCCGGCTCCTCTCCCGGGCAGAGGGCATCCCAGCCGGGGCGGCCCAGGGGCGGCCGGCCCGGAGAGCGGCTTTACCGGCTCCACGTTTGCTCAGCCCGGCGAAACGCCTCCATGGTTTGTAGCAGCATCCGATGAGCGTGGCCGGCTTTGTGCCTGCCCTTTTTTCCAGGTACGGAGTGACCCAGCATGGGCTGCCGGCGTCCCGTCGGATGTTGCTCCCGCGGGGCTGGGCTCTGGAAAACGAGGCAGCACCGCCCCGAGGTCACCCGGCGGGGGGTGCGGACAGCCGGGTCGCTGGGGCAGCTGCACTCCTGCCAGCATCCCCGCATACGTGCTGCTGGGGGGGGGAACCACACTGTCCAGACCTCAAATACTGAAATGAGCAAGCCACCACCCAAGGGTTTCTGTTTTCAGACATATACACCGCTTCCATTAGGAAAAAAGGGAGGGTGCTTATATGAAGACCTCAATTTTAATATGTCTTCGATATTCCACTGGGGTTTGTCCCAGTTTCCATGGGTGTAGTTTGACCATTTGAGAAAGCAGAGGTTTAATCCAGTGCTTCTATATATTTAATTTCCTTCAAGACACATTTTCATATGTTGTTCTCCTCTGCTGATTCCAGAGTTTTGTTTGTTTCGAGGATTTGACTTAATTCTGTTTCCAGATTAACCAAAAAAAAAAAAAAAAAAAAAAAAAAAAAAAAAAAAAAAAAAGATGAGGAGAGAAAGAACAAAGAAAGGGGTAACGGAAAATGCATTTAGAGAACAAGTTAAAACGTATTTGTCGAGGCAGAGATATGCTGTATCTCGTCATTTGAATCCTGTGCCTCTATAAGAAACTTTAAATCCTGTTTGTGAGGGTGGCATTTCCACAGATCACTCGAAAACAAATCACTGTGGAAGCAACTGTGGCCATGCTGAACGATGAACACATCAGTCTGAAATTCTGACCCAGGTGTGTATTACAGTTTGTGTGTTATGATGTGCAGGCCTTTTTCAAAATCCCGAGAAGCTTTACTTCCCCTTCAGATTCTCACTGTTGGAAAGTTGGTTGGGTTTGGGGGGTGAGGGGGGGGGGGTGTGAAGGGCTGTCAGTTGCTGGTTGTTGATGTAGATTTCTTAGTTTTGACTGTTTTGGTTTTGTTTTCTACCATGAGGTGATAAAAGTTCTAGTAGCTAGGCGGGAATGAACTCACATGGGATAGAGAAACCCAGGAAAAGTCCGTGGTGTTGACATAGGCTCGAAGAGCCGGACAGGGCAGAAAATGTTTGATCCCTCTGCAAAGACTGAGAGATTCCCTCCATAATAACAAAAATCTTTGACCAATGTCAGTTTGTTTTATCGGTGCTTTTTGCCTTTTACCAGCCTGTGTAGAATCTTCCTCCCTTGTTCGTTGTGAGAAATCAGGTCAATAAGCAAGAAGTTGGAAATGAGATACCCACTACCTATTATTGGCTGCTTCTGGGCGTCTGGCATCAGAGAAAGCTTCCAAATGAGCCTTCTGGGCTGAGAGCTTTCCACAGTAAAGATATAAAATGGTTCTAGTGACTCACCTGATGTTTGCCAAGTGGAGGTTAATATCAGTGGATCCGCATTCAGGCCTCTGTCCGTATTTATTGGGAACCTGTAGTATTATGTCTCAGCACGGTGACTCACATGGGTTCTGAGCATAAGGCACCCGAAAAAGCAATAATAACATTATCACCATCTACATAAGACGGCACCCCGTTTGAAGGGCTAGTTTAGCCCGGAGGAAAAGGGGGGTAAGGTGGGGGAAGGGTTGGGAGGGCTTTGGGGAGCGCGGAGCCGAGCCACCTGCTCGCAGCCCGGAGCGCCTAAAGCGATCCCCTGCCCCGAGGGCGATGGGAACGTGGGGCGCAGCGGCAGGGCCTGGAGGTACCTGCGCGGTAACCGGCTGTGAAGTGAGGAGCAGGAGAGGGGGGTAACCTGTGGACTTCAGGACTCGGGACTTTGAAGCACGTCCCGGCCATCAAGTTAAAGGAGCATCTACCGGCCTTTAGTAAATATTGCCTCTAATCTCAGGGGTTTAAGGCTGGATGGCCTTTTGCATTCTCTTCAAATAGAGGGGGCTGCCCTTCCTTCATCTACCTTATTGCATTCCCCCTATGTCTCCTAGCATTTGTCCTGTTCACCTGAAAGGGTGGTCGTGCCCGTCCCCCGTCCCGTCCCATCCCGTCCCGCCCCCCGCCCCCCTCTGTCCCCCTCTCCCACCTCTGTCTCTCCTTCTTTCCCCACAAGCTTAAACCAATTACGCAGCTTTGCAAATAAAGTGCCGCCCCGGGGGGAGTTGCAGGCGAGGGGGACTGCCTTGTTTGCAGGTGCATCTCCGGCTTTGTAGGTGCGAACGCCTTTGTGCGGCGGACAAATGGGGAGAGGAGGAGGAGGAGGTGGGTACTTCTGCGACGTAAGATCCACATCAGCTCAACTCCACTCACATCCCAGCCGCACTTCCTCACTTTCTCAACTGTCTCGCCCCACACCGCTCCCTGCCTCCTTTTTGGCTGGTTATAGAGCAGAATTCAGCACCCCCCGCCCCTCCTGAGAGCTGGCTTCCTGCTAGGTCGGGCTTTCGGGCTCTTTTCCTACTGCCCGTCGCTCGCTTGCAAGAAGGCTGGATGGTTACACCGGGCAGGTTGGCTCCATAATGTTAGGGACTGTGAAAATGGAAGGGCATGAAACCAGCGACTGGAACAGCTACTACGCCGACACTCAGGAGGTGAGTAAATCACAGGGTCTGGCTTCGCTGCTGCCCCTGTGCAGGGGAGGGGAGGACCTGGGGGTGGCTAGGGGTCTGGAGGGGGCAGCAATCGGAGGAATCGGTTTGCAATCCAGATCCTGCCAACGCAAACGTACCTCCCCCTCCCTCCGGCGCCGAAACTGGCTAGGCTTCCCCAAGGAAAACACAGCTTCCAGGAGCCCTGGAGGCGTTTGGGGAAGACACAGGGCGGCTGCGAGCCCGCCAGGAGGGCCGGGGGGCCGGGGGCAGCCCTTGATCTCATCTAAGAGGCGTAATCTTCTCTCGCGGCGCGCACAAAAGCACCTCATAAACTCTTGGCTCGGGGCAGAGCACTCGCCGCGCCGCCGGCACCCGACTCCTTCACGGCAGATGGCAGGGGCCGAGGGAGTCGGACGCCAGCGCGTCCTGGTCGGGGGCAGCGCCTTCCCTGAGCTTCTCGGCGGGACCTCCGGCCTCTCTACTCGCAAGCACCGGGCCCTCACCTGTTAAAGCCGGGGGAAAGGAAAGGAGGGGGAAAACCAGCCGTTTGTCCGTACTGTGCAGACGGGCTGCCCACGGCGTGCGCTGCTGCCGCGGGCCGGCTGGCGGCGCTGCCGAGAGCCGGGCCGGGAGGGGGCCCGCACCCGGACCCGCCGCCCCCCACCCGGACCCGGTCCGGATCGCGGCACTCCAGAGGCGCTTCCGCCCCCCGCGCCTGTCTGACAGCGCCGTGCACAAGGAGGAGGAGGAGAACCAACCCAAGTACCCACAACTGCGGCGGAGGAGAGGGCCACGGCAGAGCCCGGAGCCTTCTCCCGGCGCACCTCGGCCCTGTGGGGCCTGGGGTCCGCGCTGTGCCGCTGAGGCTCTGCTACGGGGGTCCCGGGAGAAGCTGGCGCCCGGCAGCGCGGCCAGCAGCCCCGCGGATTCTGCCCGGGAAGAAGGCGTTTTGAGGAAGTGCGGCAGAGAGGCAGGCACCTGGGTGTGCGCACCCGGGCATTGCATCAGCATACCCGGACACACGGCTCCACAGTCCCCACGCCTCGTCCCGCACCCGGAGCTGGCACACGCGCCCATAGGGCCACGCGGACGGAGGCTAATACGTGTCACCCGGCTGGCATCTCCTTCAATAAAGGAAAGTCGGCTAAGGGCAAATAAGGGTCATCCTAATTATGTGCCGTTTCCAGACTCATTTTTCCTCGCTATACGCATTGTCCACAAACATAAAGTTAAGCGAACTTCGCTCTTGCTATTTTTTAAAATTTCAATGCTTTCTCCTCTCTTGCCATTTAATTTGAATAACTGCATGAATGCAACGTGGGAAATCCGGCTGCGTTCTACCATCTCAAATAATGAATGCGATCCTCTAAATTAAAAGTGCGTTTATAAGTTCGTGAAATTTGTGGGGATCAGAAATGAGTTTTATATATTTAACCGTTGCTTAAAGCTCCTTCTCTTAGCCATATTAGCCGTAGTTCGAGTAAACTGGGAACGTCTTTCTCTCCCCTGTTAAATCAGATGCCGTAGCGGAAAACGTAATTTCAGGCTCCCCGGCTCTGCCCTTTTGAGAGTTGTATTATGTGGTAGGGTGCTACAATTTTTTTCCACGTCGTGCGATTGTAGAAAATCTCAGAGAGGAAAAGTTCAGGCTTTTTATACTTTGGGAAAGTTTTGGTGTTTGATTGATTTTTCTCTAACTTTAAATTAAAGACAGTTTTGATAGAAAATGTAGACAAGGGGAAAGCTTTCCACAGATAAAACAGGCCAACAAGACCTGTTTGGTTTGGGTGAGGATTTTGAAAATTATTTTGCAACAAGGCATTATTGTGTCTTGTATGTTTCTTAAAAAATGAATTTAAATTATTGCGGGAAGGAAGAGAGAGATGCGTGAGATTTTTCTCAGAAAACACAAGCAGTCTTTCTCCTTGGCGCAAACAGTGTATGCCCACCAATTTCAATATTCTGAGTTTAAGTATTTAACTAGCGAGACAGGACACAAAACAAACAAAATACGAGAATGCGTCGGAAAGAACACATCGTCCCGTGGCAGTGTGAGCCCGCAGCCCGGCTCCGCGAGGGTGTGGAGCGGCTCAGGGAAGACGGTCGGTCTGTGCGCCCCGCTGATCCCGGTGCAGCCCGCGCAAGCTGCGACACGCCGGTAAACAGGGAGCGCGTCCGGAGAGAGCACCTCAGCTCCGTGTCTATTTATAAATGTATATAAATATGAAATAGGCCTTTTCATGGAAACAGCTGCCTTTCCGCGCGCCTTTCGGGAAGCTTTTTCCCCTTTTTGGGGAAGCGGCCGGCGTCCCGCAGCTTGCACGGCTGGCTGGGCCAGGCGGGCGGATCCGGCCCCTACGGGGTCCTGCCACACCTCTCTCCTCTAACTCCGTCTCTTTGTCTCGCTGCCCTAGGCCTACTCCTCAGTGCCCGTGAGCAACATGAACTCGGGGCTGGGCTCCATGAACACCATGAACACCTACATGACCATGAACACCATGACGACAAGCGGCAACATGACCTCCAGCTCCTTCAACATGTCCTACGCCAACACGGGGCTGGGGGCTGGGCTGAGTCCCGGCGCAGTGGCCGGCATGCCGGCAGGTTCGGCGGGACCCGTGAACGGCATGCCGGCCGGCGTGGCCGCCATGGGCACGGCGCTGAGCCCCGGTGGCATCAACGCCATGTCTGCCCAGCCGGCGCCCATGAATGGGCTGAGCCCCTATGGCGGCATGAACCCCTGCATGAGCCCCATGGCCTACACCCAGTCCAACCTCGGCAGGACACGGGACGCTAAGTCCTTCAAGAGGACCTACCCCCACGCCAAGCCGCCCTACTCCTACATCTCCCTCATCACCATGGCCATCCAGCAGGCACCCAGCAAGATGCTGACGCTGAGTGAGATCTACCAGTGGATCATGGACCTTTTCCCCTACTACCGACAGAACCAGCAGCGCTGGCAGAACAGCATCCGCCACTCGCTCTCTTTCAATGACTGTTTCGTCAAGGTGGCCCGCTCCCCCGACAAGCCCGGCAAGGGCTCCTATTGGACCCTGCACCCCGACTCCGGCAACATGTTTGAAAATGGCTGTTACCTCCGCCGGCAAAAGCGCTTCAAGTGCGAGAAACCGGCGAACAGTAAAGCCACTCAGGAGGGCAGGAAAGATCAGGCCGGGGCCTCTAGTTCAAGCTCCAACTCCCCCCTGCACAGAGGCCACAACAAACCCGCGCAGCTGGACACGGCCACCTCTCTCTCCAGTTCCAACCCGTCCACCAGCCCTCAGTCTATGGACCACAGTGGATCAAGCACGGAGCTAAAGACCTCGGCCTCGGCCGCCTCCTCCACCATCAGCTCTGTACCCACCTTGGCCTCCGTCCCACACCCCCCTCACTCATTAGCCCACGAACCCCAGCTCCACCTCAAGGGTGATCCCCACTACTCCTTCAACCACCCGTTTTCCATCAACAACCTCATGTCCTCCTCGGAGCAGCAGCACAAGCTGGACTTCAAAGCCTATGAGCAGGCGCTGCAATATTCCTCTTACGGTGCCAGCATTCCCGGCGGGCTGCCCTTGGGCAGCGCTTCCATGGCTGGCCGGAGCAGCATCGAGCCCTCGGCCCTAGAGCCCTCCTATTACCAAGGTGTGTATTCCAGACCCGTGCTAAACACCTCCTAGCTGTGCAACCCCCGCCGCCGGGGCCGAGACCCCTCCTCCCCTTCCTGGCTTCTCTCCCCGCTTTCCCTGAGACAGACCAAGGTGTTTCCGCACGCTGCGTGCAAAGGACTGTTACTTTTTAATTGTCGCGCAACGCGTTGTGTGTTGTTACGATCCACCACGATCTCCTGCAAAGCCGGCCGCGTCCCGCGTGTACATACTCTCTCTGGCCCCTGCCGCCCAGCCCCTCTCCCCGGAGACCTCCCCAGCCTATGCAGGGTGTTATTAAAAAGAAGAAAAAAATGTTGAGCGTGTAAACTACTTGTTTGTGCTTTCCGCCCCATCGTCTCCCTCC